GGAAAGGACTTTGCTTTTGTTGCTCAATAAAGCGGCAGAAAAAGCAGAGACGCCGAGTAAGAGGTTCGGTTCTAACCAATTGATGATTTCCCTGAATCATTTGAAAGGTTGGAAGTTCCGAATATTTGGAGACATATCCCTTGCTGCGGGCCAAATGACAATTGCCAGCTGGAACCGAGCAGGGATTAAACTGTCCTCCTTTGCGTCGTGGCTGCTGAGTATTGCAAAGAGATTCAGTCCAATTTTTGTCCTTATCTCTTGCACCCTCAAGAACCAAATTCCATGCCAAACGAACACGAAAGTCACGATGCTCTTTAATAAACTTCATCCGAGTATTTGGAAATGCTTCTTGTGCGAGAAGGTGGGAATTAACGACAGTAGTATCAATAAGCCAAAAGAAGAGAGAGAGCCAATAGCGGACACAAGAAAACTGAATACAGTAGTAACTTCTTCTCTGATCTGCAATATCAACACCACCCATATGTAAATTATATTGCGTAGATAAGACAGGAAGGGGAAGTACTCTTGAGGTAGGAGCAATACCAGTAACTGGATCTGTTGGCCAGCCACCCTCAATTAGATCCCTATTCGCTGAAGTGATATGCAGGCGCCTTCTACGGCGCATTTCAATATTTTGGGGCAAGGCTGGGTCTGCACCAAAAGCAGTAGTTAAAAATCGTACTAGTGTTTTATCCTGCCATAAAACAGCTAGTACATCCCTAACAACTACTGCAGAAATAGTATTCCATGGTAACTAAGATGCTTGTTTTTTTAGCTTGAAAACAGAAGGATACTCAGCAGAGTGAGGACGGGCAGTTCCACAGGCACCAATACCATAGGATCGCAAAATATGAAAGAGAGGAATATTCGAGAAATAGTTGTCGCAATAGAGAATATATCGATGGCTTCTATAGGGTAAAGTAAGACAAAGTTGAATTACTGCTCGTGAGGTTGGTCGAAGGGAAATAGTCTGCTGATAGCTGGTGGAATGATCCGACTCGGAACCTAGTATAGTGAAATAAGAGATATAATTTTAAATAACTCGTAGTTGAATTACAAGATTATATACCTGAATGAGTACATTCCTGAAATTGTGAAGGATATGTCAAGCCAGTAAAAGATTGGGTACGAGAGGTATAGAGAAATGAGAATGTATAGCCTTTGTCACATAAGGCAATAATCTTAAACCCCTCCGGTGTTGGTTTCGATTTAATAAGAGACTTATGCTCAGAACGACCGGTAAACCTAATCATCATTTCATCGATTGATACCGATGTAGCCAGACAACACAGCTGCTGAAATTTCGTCTGAAGGCTACTACTCAGTGGTTCTAATTTTTCTGTCCATTGAGTTCGAGGAAGTGGAGTTGAAATCGGCGGAGAAATATGAAAGTAGCGCTTCAGTTGCTCAAATCGAAAATGTCCTATAAAGCGTGCAATATTATGTTGAGGAAAGGCACCATCATTTTGCCAATAGTCTTGCACTCTTGCACTCTTGAAAACTCCCATATAAATTACCAAGCCGAGAAAGATCTTCAACTCCAAAATAGTCATTTCCTTCCATCTTCGATGACCGGGCATTCCAGCACCTTTCATTGTAGCATAACTATTGGTATTTTGCCGCATAGCTTCCAGAATGCTATCGGTAAAGAAAAGCTTAAAAAATCGACCTGGTGTGTCCCACCCAATACCCCATTGCTCTTGATTATCTCTTCCTATTCCTTCACGCTCTTGTTGACTACTACCACCTGCCAAAATCCCTTCCTGTCTTTCCACTCTCGGGTCCTCTGGCTGTATAGAGATACCTTCCATATTTTCTAAACAAAGTCCTGCTGAGAAAACGTCGAGTGGAAGAGATATCTTCCTTGTATGCGGTAGTGCTGGATGGGAGACTGGTTCAAACTGTGGTGGAGCAGGTAAATGTAACTCTGATGGATCAATCCTAGGAAGTGGCTCGCAATTCATGCTCATCTCCTCATCTTCATCTTCATCTTCATCTTCATTCTCATCCTCCACA